TGTGCTTCCTCTGAAAAGCAGGTGAAATCGGCAATCTAAATGAGTCCTCAGATAATTGCTACAGCTCAGTATCAGCCTTAACTATAGTACCTGTAAGATGCCTATTTCTGGTTTTAGCGGGACAACTGATGATATTCCCTTATGAGAGAAAACAGAAGTTGACTGAGAATAGCTCAAGTGTGCATATTGCCACTTGGGAAAAATCAGAAAATTAAAATGTTCTTCATATAATCTGGACAAGATTTTAGCTGTTGGAGATTAATATTGTAAATTTGAAGCACAGAGGTATCCATAAATATTTCTAGGGTTTCTTGAATACATTCAGCCCATACATTTCTGGGCTAGACCATGACTCATATTTATGAGGAACAGTGGTTTGAGAGTTAATTTTAAGAAGGAAGCAGAAATATATGGCCTCAGATATAGCCTTAATATATTTCACATGATAATGCAAAAACAATGCCCCCATTACTTTTAACATGAATGAATAACTTTTTGTGGGAGAAATTGAAAGTAAAGAAGAGATCCAAGAGTATAATTAACCCTTCTCCTTGATGTTTTTCCACTTTTTAAGTAATTTCTTAACCAGTAGAATTCAGAGTGCATGTCTTCCCAAAAAATATTTCAAAGATGTAAGGTGACGAATTGTAGTTTTTGTGCCGTTTTGCATCTTAAAATTTCCCTTTCTCAAAGTGACCTGGTTTTGAAAATGTTTGACCATTATTGCTTGTACTGTGTAAGGAATTAAGAAGTATCTTAGTTCCTAAAGATTATGAAAGTATGGTGTTTCACTAACGCCAGGAATAGAGATCGCCATACTGTTTGAGACAAGGTCAGTCTTTGCAAGAGACAATAGTCATCCCAAGAGAAACACACTCTTTGTGAGTAATTATCTCTAGGAAAAACAGATAATTTGCCATATGCACATTCTTGATCAGAGGTGTTTAATATGTCTGTAGCTGGTACAATTACTATTACACATTCAGTTATTGTAATATGTCAGGATGCATAGAGAATGCAGCTTTGTAGCACATGAACACCACATGTATTCTGTAATGTAGGATTCATTTTGCTTCTCTTTAATATTCCTCATTGAAAATATCTAACATAGAACACAATCCACACTATGAATAAGCCAGGAATAAAGAAAAAAAAACACATATATCTGTTTTCCACATAGGACTTTAATATAAAAGCTAAAGAATGCTGAGAAGAAACTGTTTTGGACCATTTGTTCCAAAATGAATCTTGTAATCTTACAGGTTTCCTCTGAAATGTCCCTCCTGATCTTAATAAAATCTTCTATATAAACTTGTGTGTAGAATTACAGACCATCTTGTGGTGCAGTACAGTACAAACAGAGCAAAATTTTTACACTTGCTTTTCTTTAAATTTGGAAAATCTCTACTTTCTTAAGCAGAATCCCTCATCCCCAAATTTCACGAGTCCTACAAAGTGCTTTTAGAAGTATAAATTAAAGGCAAACCTGCCATCATTTCTATATCTGATTCCCCCACCCAGAATTTGCAACTTACAGCCAGTTTTCATATGGAGCAGGAGAAATGGAAAAAGCAAGGAACTCACGTTTGGAGGCTGTAGCACTCAGAACATGTTCACCAACAAACAGGTATCCAAGGAGGAAGAATAGGCAAGTCCACTTCATCCTGAATAGATAAAGACACCCACACTACAGAACTTGTACAACTGATGTTCCTCTCATCTCTTCAAAGTAAGACTGGGATAACATTTCCCTGCTCTCCTCCTCTCTTTGGTTAAATTAAGATCTTGGGGCTCATCATGTGATGGGCCTGGATTAAGAAGAGATGCATGATTTTGTTTTTTCTGCCTCCCTTCTCCTCCACCACCCTGCAGCTCATGTGCTTATGAGTCATTCCTCTCACTTTTAATATTCACTGGGATTTTTATGCAGCTCTGCTTTGCCTTTCAGGAATTTCTGGTGCACTTTCGCACCTTTAACAAATAAGCCATAATCATGTATTGTCTGCTAATACTTTAATTCTTACAGTGATTCAAAGATGGACAGGTTCTACACCTTCCAGGAATGGTGTCTATACAAAAGAGCATAGCTGAGAATTACAAGTGCTTCCAAAAGTTGTGTAACAGTGAAGTTAGGACTATCAAGATGGGATTTCATACTCCAGGACCAAATGCAATTCAACCACATTATATATCAGTCCTGTAGTGCAGGAACACTATGTTGGCCTTAGTTTTGCAGTTTGTACAATCTTCCCTAAGGCAAGCAGGACATTAATTAAGCATTTGTAGTGGGCAAAGGATTTGACAGGGGAAAATGAGTGCCTTAAAGCTGAACTTTCCACTCAAAATTTTGAAAATTGATTCTGATTTTTTTGGAATGCAGCTACTAACTAAGCCATTCAAAAGCTAAAGAGGCCCTCAAACAAAGTCACACACCGTTGCCCTTGAGCATCAGTTATCAAAGTGTGGTGTAAGGATCTTTTTGGGTTCCTGCCCTTCCAGGGATCTTTAAAGTGAAATAAATAAATATTTTAAAGTTTCTCATTATTATTTTCTAATATAGTAAATACTGATAGATGTAATTCACATAAACCAAAGTTCTTTGGAGTCTTCAAGCATTTTTAACTAACAAAATGTTTTGAGAATTGGTACCCAAAAGAAACATACCATTGGAATATGAATTGGTCTTTATGTTCCTCTCCTGCCTTCATGTGTGCGTTCTCTTTCTCAATGTCTCACCTTTTTTTTCCCCAATACATTTTTTATTTTTTCCAATATAAACATACATATTTTGTAGACAGTGCATTGATTGGTCAAGTCTTTTTCATACAATGTTAACAATAATAATGCTAATAATATGTGGAATTCTAATCTTCCAACTTCAAACAATACTAGTTTCATTTCATATTCCTTTTACATTTTCCCACTGATTCATTTAGGCATAAATAACATTTCTTTGCATCCTGTGTTTGTTATCCCTTAGTAAATGTTATCCTTCCATATTTTAAAATTCACTCATTATTCCACTATAGCATCAATATTCCACATATATAGGATTACTAATAACACCAATTATTAACAATATTCAATCCATCACGGGAGTATATCTAAAAATCCCCACCATTTCTAATCCTTAATATTTTAAATTCACAATATATTTTAACACACAGTTAATATTAATACTATAGTTAAATTGTCTACTCTTAAATTACCATCTACTAACCTGAATTTATTGGGGTTATGGTATTTTCCCATTTTATTAATATATTTTCTCATTATCCATCATCTCTTAATCTTTCTAAAATTCCATCATTTATTGATTTTTTTGGTCAGCCTTTTATCTCTCTCTCTTGGAATCTTGTATCTCTTTTTGATTTTTTTGTGTCTACTAATCTTTCCCTTCTGGGTGCCTTTTGTCTCTTTCTGTTGCGTCATTTGAACATCCATCCACAAGACTTCCTTTTGGTTTTTTTTAAAGAGGTTTTTCTCTTTTCTCTCTATACCATTATAAATTGAGAGGTTATGTAATTGTCTTCTACTTATTAGTCTTTTTTTCCTCTTTGTTCTTAACTTCTTGCTTTTCATTTTTATTTTCTCCTTTCCGTTTTTTCTAATTTCTCATCTATTTCTTGAGTATCGTGTTTCTCTTTTCCCCCCAATTGTTGAGTAGCTTCTACATTCATTTCTGTATCTTTAAACAACCCCTTTGTCATCTCTTAACAATTCATGCATATTTTTTTAACATAAACATAAATATTTCTTCATACATCTCTAAATCCATTTTATAGTAATTTAATATCAATTATAAAAAGTATCTTTCTATTATTTCATCTACTTTTTTAGAAACAGATGTTATTTTCATTTCATGAGAATCTGTGGGTAGGTTTTACACAAAAATGCTGCGAGATTTAATAAAATCTAAAAACTTAGGTAGATCATTGGTTTCCCTACAGTACCCAGCCAAATGCATACAAATTCAGGGTCACAAAACATGACACAAAATTGTGAGACACCACAATTAGACACCACAATTTAACTAATTCTAACTAATTTTAATCTGCTAACTCCAATCTGAAGCAAGAACTATATTGAACATTGTCATGATGCTTTAAAAAAAAAACATTCTCAGATAGAAAACATTCTTAAATGTTCAGCAGGGCTCCCTTAAATGTTGTATTAGAAATCATCATTAGCTAGTGGCATAAATTGGGGAGGGGCATATGCTCACTAAGAATAGTAAAAAAAAGTGTGGTGGCATGTCACAAATTTGAAACTGTACATGGTCAGCTGTTTCTTATGCTCTCCCCTACATAAAGCATACTTTCTTCAGGAGTTTAGATGGCATTCACATGATTGCCAAGTGACTCACTCTTTTACCCTGGGAATTATCCAGTTTATTGTTTGTAGGTGTGCTGAATTACAACTTCCATCAGCTGACAGCTGGCACAGACAAAGCCTGCTGGGATAATTCTGAAAGTCCAATTTATGAGGGTTCTATTAGATTGAAGAAGGCTAAAAGTTATGGCTCTTTCTTCACTGCCTTTGAATGCTATTTGTCACATGATACACACTACTAACTTAACTATTAAAGACAATAGGCCTTCTCTTCTCAAAGAAGAGAAGGGAAATTGGGCTCCTTTTATAAGCTTAACAATAACCACAAAATCCTGACATGTGGGAGCAAAACATGAATCAACATGATTGCTTGACAGAGTTAAATTTGATTAGCAAAAGTTTTCTTCTACCCCATCTCTGAAAATAACCCTGAAATAAGGTATTTATCTTTCTGAATAAAACAAGTCAATCTTGTGTCACCTACTTTGTTACCTAATTATTTGTTTTGTCATGTCCAGATTAGCAGTAGGTTTCAAATCTGGTCGCTACCAGTTCGCTCGTGGATGCGTGCACGCTCGCGCTTACGTGTGACACTTCTGCGCATGTGCAGAAGCTTCTGCGCATGCACAGAGATGTCCAGATGGGTGGGCGGAGCCTCCCGCCGCCGTCACTACCGGTTTGCCCGATCTGAGGCAAACCGGTAGCAACCCACCACTGGTTCAGATGGGTCCTCTGTAACTTGTGTCTTCTCCAGATATTCTTAATAGGTATCAGGTTTCATGCTGGACAACACATATCGTATGTCATCACACAAATTATATAAATTAGGTTGAGTAAATCTTATTAAGATGTTTTGAAAGATACTGATAGCTGAAAAAGAGTTGATGCAGGGCTTTTACAAGATTCTTAGAGGTTCAGCAATAATATATGACTCTCCAGTGTTGGAGTTAAAAAAGCATTCATACAATCATACATTTTAATATTTCAATATTTATGTCCCAAACACTGGAGCATTTAACTGCAAAGCCATAGCAACTCTTCATTATAATTAGAAGCCAAACTTCAATCATAAGGTTGCGGGATCCAATTTGGATTGGTCAAGGGACCAGAGATTTTGTCTTCTGTGCTTTCAGATTCATGTTGTACCCCCATCCTCAGGGAACTGGGAACCTCAGGGTATTTATATGGTGCCTGTTGTGTGTAGGTTTTTAGATGTAGATTGGGGTATTGATGGCTGGCTATTAAGTCGTTTCATTGTGCTGCCAAGCTCTTGCCTTCTAAGTATTTGATAAAGTGGGGGTAAATCCTGTTGATTGACGAGCATTCTGTTTCCCAGGGTTCAATCATTTCCATGGCTGTTTTTCTGCCTGCTCATCCAACAATCTTAGTATCTGGAAAATTGAATGTATGTTCTTATTAATTGCAATATGAAGCTACCAGGAAAGGCTATGATCAGAGGATGTATTTGTCATTAATTACATGACCAACAAGCAATCAGAGAAAGATGGCAAGAATACACAGAACAACTTTACACAAATGAAAAACAAGGCCAAGCTGTAAGAAGAGAAGCTGACCTACCAGAAATAGAACCAGATCTTTTGGAGGAGGAAGTAGTTTGAGCATTCAACCAGTTGCCAAACTGCAAAGTCCGAGGAGTTGATGGAATTCCTGCAGAGTTGCTGAGACCACTGCCAACAAAAGCGCTGACAGTGCTTCGCCAAAAGTCACAAAAAGTGATCACATGACCCTGGGACTACTTCAACCATCATAAATACATGCCAGTTATCGAACAGCCAAATGTTCATCACCGACCATGGAGATGCTGCAGTGGTGGGATTCAAGTAATTTAACAACCGGTTCTCTGCCCTAATGATTTCTTCCAACAACCAATCTGCCAAACTGCTCCAAAAGTTAACAACCGGTTCTCCCGAAGTGGTGCGAACTGGCTGAATTCCACCACTGAGATGCTGCAATAGTTGATCACGAAAGAAATGCTTGCAAGTTGAGAACTGCCTGCATGTGGTAAAAACAGATATTTTAATAGAAGAAGTATAAATACTGTGGATGAGAATTTAAAGCCAGAAACAGATGAATAATGTATAGAATAAAGCAATATTCACAGCCTATTCTACAGCTTTAAAAAGCTTTTTTATATTAAAGTACAAATTTAAATTTATCTATTCTGGAAATGAATACTTTTTTAAGTTCTGGAAAGTAGATACAACAAAAATAGACAAAAATAGGAAAATATTATTTCATTAAATATGTTAGGAAAAAGAACAGCAATGCTTCTTGTTATTAGTTAAAAAATTCAATGTGAACAAACAGCATCCAAGAAAATCAAATTAAAAGCAAAATCATAATAAAAGGAAAAATCGTTTAAAAAGGGGCAGAGCTTATGACAAGTACCAAATAGGTTAATTTGCTAATAGAATTGAACTCCAATTCAAACTGTATTAAATAATGAAATTCTTCCTGCACTGGATCCAAAGCTACTAAACAATTCAGCCACTATTATTAGATTCACTTCACATTATACTGAGTAGAAGACAAAAGTATTACAATCTGAAAATTACAATTAAATTTGTTACTTGCTCTTGTCTGTATTCTTCTCAAATCCTGAAAATAAGTTGACTGCAATTCCCAAAATTCCAAGGCAACTTAGCCCAGAAGGAAATTCTGGGAATTGTAGTCTCAAACATGTATGGAGTCCCAGCTCTTTGCCATATTTCAGTATTTATGTTTTTGTCTAGATAGAATATATCCCACCTTCTGGATGTGCAGAGTTGATATATATGGCTCAATTACATAGTGCTTAAAACTCCTACAAGGCAAACTGGAGAAAACCCAAGAGGGGTAGAAAAGGAGATAGCAAAATAAAAAGGTAGTGAATGATGAAAGTTTTCATTTTCCCCCATCCCCCTTCTTGTAATATTGTCTGTTTTCCTCATCTTTTTATAAATATGGATAACAAAACTGAACAATGAAATAATATTTTAGTCTCAAATAAGGTGTGATAGTAAATTACATTATAAAATGTATAACCATCATGAATGTATAGTTTGTAATTAAGCACTGATAAAGAACGGTAAAAAAAACTAATGGGCTGCATACTTCTTGATATATATTAAACCATCATGGTTTCTTTTGAGTGCTTTTAAAATAATTAATCTTCAAATCCCCCAGATTAGGATTGCAAATGGCTTGTGTTCATTTTTTTTGTCTGTCACAAATGTAAATCCAATTTTTTTGCCTAATCAGTTAATGCAATAGCCTTGTTGTGATTATATAATAAGTACGTAAATTTGCACAAGGTCAATCTCTTGAGTGATAATTCTAACCCTATACCTAGCTTTAACCCTAAAACCATGGGGGGGGAGGAGAGAATGAGTTAGCCAAAATAAGCAGATGTAAACAAGGCTATTGCTTAACGCATTGTAAGCTGCCCTGAATCTCCGGAGAAGGGCGGCATATAAATCAAATTTAAAAAAAAAAAATTGGTGTTGAAATTCACAAGCAGACAAAAGCTTTTTGGTGGGCAAATTTACAAGAGCCCTATAAATCTTCAATAAAATACTCACCTTATCTGGTGTCTTCCAGATATGTTGGGATTAAAACACTCTAAATTTCTGGCCGGTACTGCCCATACAGATTGAGAAATTAGTTATTTGATTTACCAAGCTAGTATCAACTTTAATGAATGAGCTTTTTAGTAACTTATCTGGGAGTGCTAATTGGTTAAATTTAAATCATTTTGGTCTCATGTATGCAATAATGGAAAGGAGGGAAAGGTATTTCCTTTCACAATTACTTTCCCCCGTCATTTTTTCCTGCTACGTTACATATCATTTTACAGCTTCACACAAGTCTCAAAAAGCCAATTTTTGTTAAGATTATGTTAAAAAGTTCAGTTCTGTCCCTACCTCCTCTGAAGTTCCAGTGCACTAAATAGAACTTAATCCTGTGTTTTGAACTGCAACCAGCCATAATTGATCAAACACTTGAGGGGGAAGGACTTGTCAGCTGTTCTGATTAAGGTAAACAGAAGATTAACCTATTCATTTCTGAAAAAAAAAATCTGCATTTAAAAAATAGTTATTAAAGAAAAAATATATTTTGGCTCATCATTTACACTTAACAAAAGTGTAAGAGAGGTAGTATATTTATAGAAGGAATGTGCTCACATGTTGGCAGAAAGAATTATTTTAGCTTAAGTAATGTGTGTTATAGAACTAAGGAATTAATTTTTCAAAGTGTTGAATGTGAAAAAAAAAAGTTTGCTACTTTCTCTTAAAAAGCCATGGTTTAATGCTTCTTCAGATCGAAAGGCATTCTACGTGTGTTTCATAGCGAAAATTTCCATAGCCATTTCCCACTGTTTGAGAAAATGTTGTCAATAGATACCAACTGAACAATTTCCTTAATACAATTCCAAGGAAGTTTCAGAATCTACAGATAAGCTATAGCAGGCTTTATACAGGCAGTCCTTGACGTATGACCACAACTGAGCCAAAATTTCCATTGCTAATCGAGATAGTTGCTAAGTGCATTTTGCCCCATTTTACAACTTTCCTTGCAATTGTTAGTGAATCACTGTAGTAACATGTTGTAAAATGAATCTGGGTTCCCCATGGCTTTGCTTGTCAGAAGGTCGTAAATGGTGATCATATGTCCCTGGGACACTGCAACCATCATAAATATGAGCCAGTTGCCAAGCATCTGAATTTTAATCATGTGCCATAAGGATTCTGCAATGGTCATAAGTTTGCAAATTGATCATGTCACTTTTTTCAGTGCCATTGTAATGGTCATTAAATGAATGTCTGTAAGGACTACCTATATTCTATACATCTTGCCTTTAAAAATTATTTTCAAAAGGAAGATCTACTTTTATATATTGGAGTGTCTGTTTTAAATCACTCAGTTTTAGAAAAAAACAAGCTATCCTATACTCAATTGAATGCCATACCATTTATTGATTACATGGTGATGGTTGTAAAGATTTCACCATTATCATAATTTTCATCTTATAGATTAATTCAAAGTTTCAGAACTGGCTTGCTGGGACCAATAAGTATTATTTATAGTATAATTTATCTTTTTTTTAGTTAGAGAAAGGGAAGATTCAATCTCATGGACCTCTAAGCATAAAAATGCTCTGTGAATGGCTTTTAAATGCTATACATGTAGTCCTTGATATGCAACCATGTTTGAAGTTACAAAGGCACTGAAAAAGTTACTTCAATTAAAGCAGTCTGATGCAGTGGTGGGTTGCCCCCGGTTCGGACCGGTTCTATAGATTTCTTATAGTAAAACCAGCGGGAGGCTCTGCCCACTGATCCTGACATCATCAGAAGCGACCTGCGCATGCGTAGAAGCAAGCCACATGCGCAAAAGTAAGGCGCATGCATGAGCAAAGCGAGCATGTGTGTGTGATCCTGTTGCGAACTAGTAGTAAAGGTAAGTAGAACCCACCCCTGGTCTGATGAAACTAAAAATAAATAGTTTTAAACTGTATATCTTATTTTTGGAAGATTAAATGGGAAGATAAAGATTTCCCTGTCAGTCTTATCTGACTCTAGGGCAGGGCTGTCAAACTTGCAGGCTGTGGGCTGGATGCATCACGCGCTGACCATGCCCACACCTGATTTAGCAAAGGAAGAAAATTTGCGATATGTCCAGTGGGATTCAAGTAATTTAACAACCTGTTCTCTGCCCTAATGATTTCTTCCAACAACCAGTTTGTCAAACTGCTCAGAAAATTAACAAACAACGTCTCTCGAAGTGATGTGAAATGGCTGAATGCCACCACTGGATATGCCGTGATGACGCGAGTTTGACACGCCTGCTCTAGGGCATGATGCTCATCTTTGTTTCTTGGCCAAGGGAGCCAGCATTATCCAAATAAAATTTCTATGATCATGTGGCCAGCATGATTATGGCACCCAAAATGCTCATATCTTCCTACTGAAATTGTACCTATTAATCTACTTGCATTTGCATGCTTTCAAACTGCCAAGTGGGCAAGAGTTAGGGCAGGAGTGGGAGCTAACCCCATTGTATGGATCTCAGATCTCGAACCCGGCCTGTCACCTCTCCAGCTGACAAGCTCAATGTCTTTAACCATTAAGCTTCTCAGCAGCTCTCCCCATAACTAGCAGCTTTATTCAATAAATATAATTGTAAAATATTGATAGTGGACTATTTATTTATTATAATGGATAATTTAGCCAAATTGTTTGGCCCTTAACATTCACCATCTATATTCTGTGCCTATGTAATCTCTACAAAATTGGTCACTAACAATAGTGGGTTTTGCTTGCCTTCGCTACCGGTTCGGAACTGTGAGCGCGCTCCCCTGTACGTGCTCACTTCGCTCACTCACAGCGCTTATGCACATTCACAGAACCATCTGAGAATGAGCAGAGGGTCCGTGATGATGTTGGGGCGGATGGGCGGAGCCTCCTGCCACTGATACTGGTTCGCCCGAACCAGGGCAAACCGGTAGAAACTCACCACTGGTCACAATGCCATTCATTTTAGTGTTTTGGATGTTTGTGCCCTCTATTGTAGAACAACGGCTGTTGGGGACTATACATTCAACATTGCTTTCCTTACATAGTATAGTCTACATTTTCAAAATGTATAGTTTATATTATATAAAGAAAACAATTTATTTTGTGTTTTTATCACTGAGGGGAATTTATTTTATTTATTTAGCGTATGGCTGGTCACACACAATATTAAAACACTTCATTTTTACAGGTTAAAATAATTAAAACAATTTTTTAAAAAAGCAGTAAGAAAACCTAAGAGGAAAACAGAAATAACATTTCAGAGTTTAATGTCGAGTTTGGAGATCCAGTCAGTAGCTGTCGTTGTTACGCAGAGGAAGTCCCTAAAATCTCCTGGATATCTTCTGTTAGAGCATTCCCTCACTACATGTTGGATAGTCTGTTGAGGGGCCCAATCACATTGTGCTGAAGATGTCTTTCCCCATTTATACAAGGAGTCGGCACACACCCCATGAGTCATTCTAATTCTATTGTATGTATTGTAATCTGTGTCGGGGTAGATTAAATCCTGGAGGTATACAATATGCTCAGAAATATCTTGGGGGGAATAGCTACTCCACGCTTCCATCCACTTTTGTGTGGTGTTCTGATGATCGGTCAGCAGCTTAAGCGCTGTCAAGAGTGGTGGGTTTCTTGACTTTAATCGGCATCTTAAGAGATCAGGAATGTGAGGGGAAATCTAATTTTTAAAGAAATAACTTTATTACATTGCAACCTATAGGTACAGTATCTAAATTAAGATAATTAAGATCGGTTTTCAGTCTCCCAAATTGCTCTTAACACTATAATGTCTTTTTCTCATTTGACTTTCTAAAAACCAATTTCTTTAGGGTATTGGCAGAGGTACAAAAGAGAAAAAAAATGTGTCTAGGACATTGGGCTTTTTCTGTGTAATCAGAAGTAATCTAATTACCTTGAGCATATGACAGAGCACATGCTCGGACTATGTTTCATGTGATCTAGAAGAAAAATTCATAAATTATTTTTAGAAATGTGACTAGCTTGCTGACAGGAAAACAGTGTTTTAAACAATAAAAATGCTTATTCATGCTGTCGCAATATTTTAGCAGCAATTTTAAAGATGTATTTAAAGTGATTAACTTTGTAGAGCTGTTTCTTATTTCTTACCTTCTAGTTGAGTTTTACCAGGTAGACCAGACAAAAGACATGACCAAATAGGCTAATTCATTATTGTAAAGCTATTATTAATAGAATCTTGCAATTCTGAAAGTACAATTCTCCTGCCATTACTCTGCATTTACATGCAGAGAACTTTAGGAGCTGTGGTTGCAGACTGGTTAGAATGCAGTATTGCAGGTTAACTCTGCCCAAGCAGGAGTTCAATTCCGATCGGCTTAAGTTTGATTCAACCTTCCATCAAGGTTGGTAAAATGAGGACCCAGATTATTGGGGCAATATGCTGATCTTGTAAACCTCTCAGAGAGTGCTGTAAAGCACTATGGGGAACGGTAAATAAATCTAAGTGCTATTGCTATCTTCTGAGTCTCTTGCTCCAACCACCAGGGGTAGGTTCTACTTACCTTTACTATAGTTCGCATTATGCCTACATGTGCAGATCTACTTTGATGACATCCACATCAGTGGGTGGAGCCTCCCGCCGGTTTTACTACCGGTTCTTGCGAACGGGTCCTAACTGGGGGCAACCCACCACTGCCAACCACTATACAATTGCAGTCTGTGCTGTCTCTTATTTGACCCTCTCCTAGGCAGCATCTCTTTGCCAATCTCCCAAGGTCTTTCCCACATGCTATTACTTTGAGTTAGACTAAGCCTTTGAGCACTCTCTACCAGTTAACATATTGGAAATTGTAATTTAACAAGTCTCTTGGAGAAAATTGCTATAGAACAATAAATCACTCCATAGATGAGACTTTCTATATCTGATATACAGTATCTTAAAACATGTAGGATTAGCATGGAACATGCTGGAAAGTGATTGTCAAGGCATTTGTGTTTGTTTGTGAGGGGCAACTGGATTGGTTGTTGTCAAAGGTTGTTATCAGGTGCTTGCCAAAACTCACCTGTTGACATTTTAAATAATGCGGTCCTATGTTGCTTATATATTGCTCATACTGTTCAGTTGCCACTTCTGGTCAAGAGAGCAGTAAATGAAGAAAGGAGAAAAAGAAAGGGAACTTCTGGCTATCTACTCTTTTCTTCAGGCTGCTTGCCAAACTAGGTTCAAGAGGGGCAAAACAATGGAGAGGTCACAATCAGGAAATACTGAGTAATACAGCTATTCATCTACCACTTCACAAACTACAGCTATCTATCTCTTCAGGCAGGCAGGCAGGCAGGCAGGCAGGCGCACACACACACACACACACACACAGACACACACAGACACACACAGACACACAGACAGACAGACAGACAGACACACACACACACACACACACACACACACACACACACACACGGCAAACTTCCAAACTAGCTTGAAGGGCTATTCTAAAAGGATGTGTCCTTCCTTGCCATATAAGGAACTTCTTTCTTTAAGCTATGTTTACCAAAAAAACATGGAAATCGTTGGGAGCCAATATTAAGCTCTTTATTCATTAGAGTTTTACTTAGTTGCTGCTCTCTCTTCAGTTGAAAGCACAGGTAATTAATTTGAAGAGCAATAATAGCAATGTTGAGCCCCAGAATGTTTCGGTGAACACTTTACTATGAGTGGGAGTCTAATTGCCCCAGTGCCTGCTCCCATAAAGTAATTGTCAATAAAAGCAATTAGATGTGCCTTACAGAATGCATTTTCTTTGTACTCCGAACGTACGTAATGCATCTCTCTAGTGCTCTATAACTCTCTTAGCTTTGAATAAGTATCAGTCAACTCTTTTTACTGTGCAGTCAGAATTCTACTTCCCTGGTCAGGTAATTAAATAGTAAAACATTAATACTGCCTCCCCAAGAAGGCCCCATTCTAAGGATTTCATTAATTAATCGTGACTATAAATCCCTTGCAAAGGTATTTGAAGACTGTATTGTAAAATAAAATCAAAATGCAAATACAGATCAGTGAAAGATCTGCAGCAAGATGTTATGACATCTTTTGTTTTTAGGTTTTTAGAAATGCAAATAAATAATTTCATTAAATGGCTACTTTGAAGTAGGCATTCCATAAGTTTCCTCTTCCTCAAATTATGATTTCCTTCAAACTAATTTGTCACATGCATACTTAAGAGCTTTACTGGCATCCCAAAGAAAAATGTTTATGAGTTACTAAAATGTTTTACTAAATGCTTCTGCTCTTCCCTGGATCTGAGATAAAAAATCTCAAAATTACAGTCCTGTTGTGGGTTATTTCCTCCGTTACAGCATGGGCTATTTCTACTCAACTCCATTTGGTTTTGTAGGTAATTAGCTATTGAAAGTTAAATATGATAAATATCCCATTTGCTATTCACATCTTTTCATTTAAAAGAAATTTCCTCCAGTAGAAAAGTATTTTATTTCTTTTACTTTCCATTATAATCAATGCCAAATTTACTGTCAACGCTTCTTTCTTTAACACTAGTTGCAACCAAAAATAGTGATCTATAGCTACAGACCAAGTTTCTTTTGAGAGCCTATTGTGTAGTGGTTAGGACATTAGATTAGAAACTGGGGGATGTGAGTTTTAGTCCTCTTTAGGAACCAAACCAGCTGAGTGACCTTGGGCTGGTCACTTTTTCTCAACCGTAGGAAGGAGGCAATGGCAAACCACTTCTGAAAATCCTTCCCAAAAAAACCGGCAGACTTTCCAGGCAGTATCTGATAACTGGACACAATTGAATGGAAGGGGGAAAAAAAGGTAATTTTAAATACTGTTCAAAATGACAAACCACAGTATTCTTAGTGTATGTATTCTGCAGGTTGTACACATTGCACTACTTTGCTGAGATGGTATCCCTTAATTTTAATACCATAACAACAACATATTAACATAATAAGCTAAGTGGGTTGAGTGAAATTGGCCATGAGTTAGTTAGTGTGAGCTCCCTCAGAAATTTGCCTGCATTTTCCTGAACAAAGCCAAAACCTTAGCCATTATTCTGTAGTGGCCGTAGGAGCAAACATTAAGTGTTCTGTAATTTCAAAGGAATCACGTGGAAACAGAAAAAGTACAACAGCATACTTTCCAGCTTTTGCCCTATTTTTAGCAAGTCAAGGCATTCTATTTATACTGAAGGGACTATTTAGATACTCCCCAATCTTTTAGGGTGTGAAGCACCTCAATAGCTCTGAACTTTCCCTTCATAGGAAACTCTAGTATGCAACCAGATGCATGCAAATAGTATGAAGGACACCAGGACACATTTGAACAGTAGTGATTTTATTTTTCTTCCTTTGCATTGAATAGAGCTGCCTTACTAACCCTCTGCAAATTTATCATTTATACTCATATGGCTATATCACAAAGAACAGTAATAAGCCTGACTAATATTATATAATCTAGGCAGCACAAAAAAGGTTTTCCAAATCCAAAAACTCCAGGTGTTTAAATTCCATCTGATGTTGTAGCCACATCAGATGTACCATTAAATGAAAAGAAACCTGCTAATAAATCTGGCAGATTACTAAAGCCATCTGCACAGGCAACAGCCAAAGAAAATACAGTACTTTTGATATTAGTAAGGCTTATTACTAAATTTATATTCAGACTTCTAGCGTTCGAAGAATGAATGTTAAATAACTATTATTTTCAACATTTTTTTTTCAAACTAAATATTTCCATTTTTGTATTAATAAATCAAGGATATTCATTAGTAGAAATAAATCCAATAATTCTGAAGCACTGGTAGTGACCAATAAGGAAAATTAAATTTAGTCCAAGGATTTAGTTGTAGTATATATGTTAACAAATGTAGAAAAACAAATAGAAAGAGCATCTGTAGCCACGTGCTACATATTAAGAAATTCCATGGGTGGCGGTCTTAATGGGACTTTCCCCAAAATGAATTTTACACCTTTGAACTGTCTTAATTCTTCTGTAGACAGTCGAAGCTGGGAAGTAAATAATTCTTCTGAAGAGCCAAAAGTTGGAATTGCTGGGGATGTTACTGCAATATTACTGGGAAGAGAATGTGCTGATTCTCCAAAGAGTGTATATGTAGAATTGAAACCAGGAGGCGCAATTGCTTTTCCAAATACTGTTGCAGGTGTGGTGTCTGGTGAAAAATTTGCAGAAAAGGGTTTTCCAAATCCAGAAAATGTAGGTATTCCAATTCCATCCGATGTTGTACCCATATTAAATGAAAAGGAACTTGCTGAAGAATCTGACATATTATTAAAGCCAACTGTAGGAGGAGCAGCTGAAGGAAGTGCAGCACCTTGGATATCTGTGTGGCTTACAGATGAGACAGCAGCAGATTCAGGAGATTTGAAAGAAAAGGCCTGAACAGTATTCCATGCATCCGTAGGAAAGCCTGCAATTATAGCATATAGAAAAAGTTGTAAGAATAGTTGCAATATTAAGAAAAAGAAAACTGCATTAAAGGGGAAACTAAGATAATCAAAATGAAGCATGTGGTAAAATGGATCAGCCAAAACAAATTCCTTACTTGATGTTCTAGAAGGTAGCGTCTGCTGTTGTCCAAACCCAAATGGAGGAGATTGGTGACTAGTCACATTCTTCAATTCCTTAAAAACAAACATAAATTCTATATTTCACATATTGTTTTATGGCTTCAGATTAAGTATTTTAAAATGCACATACATACTGGTATTACTTAACAGTTGGATGCTTAATGATCGTTCAAAGTTATGATGGACCCCTAAAAGTTACAACTTACCCTTAAATTAATGATGGCTGCATTTCCCCCCCCCGTCATGTGACTACTTTTTAGCTACTTGGCAACCAGATCCTATTTATAACTGATTGCAGCTTCCAACTGTCATGTGACATTTGTAAGTGTTTTGTTTGTTTCTGGCAAAAACCATTCATTTAGGAGGATGTATTCACTTAACAACCGTGTGGTGACTCTCTTAATGACAATGACTTTCGACTAAAATTCTGGGCTCAATTGTGGTTACTGAGAACTATTTATATATTAAAATGAGATAATTTTTATTATCTATTTTTTCCTACTTACATTGTTTCAATTCAATTTATTACAGTCATGGCCCAGAACAAATAAAAACATTCAGTAAATACACAATGAAGAATTCTAGAATAAAATAACAGATAAAATCTAAGATAAAATCCAGTTTGTCAATCGCACATGGTCTACTATACTAAAATTACAATACATAAACTGTGAGGCCTGTAGTCAGTTTAATATTAAAAGGGAATGGAATAAGTAGTGCAAAGGGTTTGCCAACATTGTTGTAAAATCTGATTTCACTTTTATTTCCTTTTTCCTTTTTTTTTCATGGCCTCTACTCCAGAGAAATTTCAAGTTTCTGTTAAACAAGAGCATAGTGCTCCTTTATTTTCCAATTTGGCAATTACTGTCTTTTAAGATCAAGAAGGAAGCCTGGTTCTTTTATAAATTTGTTGGCAGGAAGGCAAGGGAAAAAGGCATTTTTTCTCAGAGACCTAGACAGAAAAGCTGAATAAGATGTCAGGCTTCTATCCCCTGGCTGAAGGTGAGGCAACACTTCACATTTGAAAAACTGGAAGTCTAGTCCAATTTCTAAACCTCTGGAACAATATTTATATGGAGGGAATGTGATGTTCAAGCCTTCATTACTGGTAAACCTTTGCCTAAGAGCCCAGAGACGCCTATCTTATCTGATTGTCCTTTGAAATAGCTCAGAATGAAAACTCAGAAAAGCATTTATCTGCATTGGATACAACTTGTACAGATTTGCAGCAGATAAAAACTTTGTAGATTCTGTACAGAATTCTGATTATTTATTATATTTTTATGCCACTAGTTTATTTTTCTATATAATTCTCCAAATGCCTTTAAGTAAAATAAATGCTGAAAAGATAACCTAAAATTTTGCCTACAATTTTAAATGTGTTTATAAAGGCTGCTAATTAAATCCAGTTATCTGAACAGCAATAGTTACAGTAAACTCAATCTTATCACTGAAGCTTTCCCCTATTAGTTCCAAGTATTATTAAGCTGACTTATTGCTCCAAATTATTACTGGTTTGAAAATCAGGACCAAAAATATGAAAACATTTTTTTTAAAAAATACTTTCCAGTTGTACTCACCATTGTAGTTTTAGTAGAGGGAGTTGCATTCTTCAATTCATGCAATCTATTTTTCCACTGAATAACTAGCTGCTGGACTGAATTGACCTGTAAAGAGGAAGAAAAGTTATTCACTACTGGCTTCACATTTGAAATAATTTTCTAAAAAGTGCTTCAGCCTTCTACATTAAACAATATAGACACTTACATAAACTTGTGTGTTATTGTTTGCTTTACAGTTATAATACACAAGACGCAACTCTTCTGGCAGAAAGTCAGAGAAACCTGTAAAGATAACAATCAAAGAGCAGAAAGGGAAATATTTTATCCCCATAATGCAAGGCTAGTAACTATACATACAGATACAATTTGTGGTTAAGAAAGACTCATTGGCAAAATAATTCATTAGCAAATAAAAATACATTTGCTTTGTCTCTTAAGCCCCTGTAAAACCAAGTCAAAAATTTTGACCCATCTTCCAGCAATTGACCCATATTGCTGTTCACAACACTTGCTGTCTTCTGGTGCTGATTTTTTTCCCCTCTAAAAATGTGATCAGTCAATTGCAAACTCTGGATCTGAGATCCTACTTGAGATCTGGATATCACACATATGGTTGTCTCCTAAATCTGATTCCGTATTAGAGTAAAGGTGCCTTGTCTAAATTATTTTGGCCTGATTTTTAAATACATCTTATAGTGACAGATCTCTATAGTCACAGACAATAGTAATTTTAAGGAAAATAAATTATTGACCTCATATGCTTTCCATTTTCTCCTGTGAATAGCTCCCAAGGTATATAGCCTCCAATAGAGCATAAGAGCCTGGCCACACAGTGTGTGTTTTGTGTGGGCACCATTCAAAAAGAGAGACATTTGCAGAGAATTAGGAGATATGGGGATGTAGATCTTTTAGATTTAAAATATTCTCCATTGCAAACAGAACTGTTCTGTCCAAAACCAGCCTTTTAAAAGTTGGTCAAGGAACTTTGCTTGGCAGAGTCCAGGAGCAGACCCTTTTCTGCTGTAGCTCTTGCTATCTGGAACATTGTACTCTTTGAAGTGAGATCCATCCCCCATTCTTTCAGCCTTCCAACCTGGCTGGTTAGCCTGGGGCCTAGATGTGGGTGTTCCTTTCTGAAAGTGGTTATTGGATTAAATAGAATTTAATCCACCCTCACCCACTGTATATTCCTGCCATTTTAACTAAAATTCTTAATTTAATGTTATACTTACTGTTTTTATATTTTATAATACTGTTTTATTATGTTGTAAGCCACCCAGAGTTGCCTTATTGCAAGATGGGCAGCAAATAAATTTAATAAGTAAAAATAAGTGTAAATATCCCACTTAATCCATAGTGCCTTAGTTACACAGATATGTGCAATGTCTCATCCAATGAGACCTAACAATAGAGTAATTTGTACCTGAAATATTAGGTTTTTCTTTCATTGGTGAATAGGAGGAAAACATCCATTGTCCAGAAGATTCCCAAATCTCCATGTCTTTCATTATTATTTCACTGAATAAATGATAATGGAAAGTTGTAACCCATACTAAACTGATGTAAAATCAAACCAAGCTAATCTTAAGGTTTCACTGTTTTTAAACATGGAGACAAATCAAGACTAACTGAGCATAGCAAAAAGCATAATTCATTTTATGAAAGACTTAATCTTTTTCTTGCCCAATGCAAATATAGAACCTGATCTAAAATTAATTAGACAACTGACAGAGCAAGTTGTGATGGGAGTTCTGCTCCACTATCAAGAAATCCTACCAGTAGGATAGTGCCTTTGTCCCAAGGGCCTCTAGGTATAGAATGTCTAGACCTATAAAATATCTATAAGCCAGTTTGCATATTCTGCATGCAATTATAATACTCAGTTCAATGAACTGTATAAACAACCATGGCAAAGAACTGAAGACATTGAGTTTAGGATTGTTGTTTTTAACTGCACATTTAAATCTCATAGTAATTAAAGGAAAAATGCCACTTACTTAAGTTTTTCTTCCTCAGGTGTAGTATTGTTAGTCAAATGTTCACTTGAATCTAATGCAGCAAATCTATTCTGAGAAAAATTTGAGGATCTGGGATCTTTGTTGGTTTTCCACTTAGATGATTTTGAGTAATTAAATGCCTGCAAGCTAACAGAATAATGGTGCTGTCCACCCCGTGCTCCTCTTCTGCTGGGGCCTGAACAAAAAAGAGCACAATGTATCAAACATTTATCTTCTTTGCGTAAAAAATAATTTAATCTATATTACAGAATTAAGTAACAGAAATTGGCCTAGAAAGGTTATTTGATAGAGTACAAATCCAAAATCTATAGAAAATAACTCAAACGTAGATCCCTAGACAACAACATCCATAATATTACAAGCTTTGTACTCTTTATCATACTTATTTTACATTGTAAATTTCTATTCCACCAGATTACTTCTCCACTGTGATCATCTTTATTCCTGTAATGTGACCCTTCTGGTGACTGTATCCCTTTAAGGAGGTCTATTAGCCTCCTACACTGTTCTTTCCTTGGCATTTCAGCCTATCTGACCTTCTGCTTTTTTCATGTTAATTTGGTATAGATAAGAGATCTAGTTTCTGCAACCAGGATGCAGAGTCTGAGCCCTGTGAAAGGCAAACTCCATTCTCCTTTTACAGCTCCCTTTTAGCCAAAACTTTTTTTGTGGAGTGTTTATTGAACATTAGTTTAAGTCACATCTACACGTATGGTTGGATATCTCAATTTTTGGGTATTACAATTATATCTTTGCCAGGGGCTCTTTTATATATATCCAAGTCAGAGGGTTCCAAAACCAAATACACAGCACTCAAAGGCACAACTCCATTCTTTCCCTCTTCTACTCCACTACCTGCTCCTCCAAATACTACTTATAAAGAATAGTATCTCTATCTGCTTAGAAACTGCTTTAAGTACACAAACACACGTCCTACACCATACCCAGCTGCATCTCTGCTCAGTTTTTATAACTAACAATTGCTGTTCCAGCTAGGGAGAGGCCTTGAGACAGGATAATAGTAGCACAGGTGCTGGCCATTTTGCAGGCAGTCTGACCTTGCATTTATCTGTGCTGGACTTTAAAATTCTGAGAATCTGCAGAGACCACATTGAGTCAGTGTTCCATCATTTACACTAAATGGAAACAAACAGGCTTTAACTGTTTAATCTCTATGGATGTCCAAAAGCCCAACAAACTTGAATAGCATTTCAGCATTTTTGGAACCAAAAATGGACAGTTTTTGGAACTGTCAATAATTGCAATTAATTACAAGTTGCACTGGCAGCTGAAATGAAAGAGACCTAAATTAACGGGATACTCAGGTGGGATGAATTTAGTTCTACTTAAAGCAGATCCCCCTGAAATCCATAGAACACTAACACGTTTATTACATGAGTAGAATAACTTCAAGCACATTGCCTGAATAGTAACTATTACAGAACGAGGCTGCGGTTTTTGTAACGCACCTTGTTTTAATCTTATTTAATGGATTTCAGTATTTTTTGAAATCCGTTTTAACTTTGTTAACTGCTATAGGATTCTTTCGCAAGGAGAACGGTAAAGAAATTAGACTAAGCATCCCAATTTTTAAAAAGTACGGCCAGGTTTCAACCGGTCACTGTAAAAGAGGCTGGGGTTTAAAAACAAAATACAAGCAAACTAAGTTAAAAACACTTTGTTAGCCAAAGGCGGACCTTTCTCTCCCGAGCAAGTCCATTATGCAGCCACGTTCCCCGCGGGAAGAGACCCTAGAAATCGCAAGCGGCAACCCTAAGAGGCTAATGAAGAACCCAAATCCCCTCCGTACCTGAGTTTTGGGCAAAGGCCTGGCTGGCTCTGCCACCGTGTGGATGCTCATACCAGCATCTATCACCGAAACGGCAGTTGCCCTGCAAGTAGTAAGAGCAAACCCAACCAGAATTGTGAGCCATGAGAAGGCACCGCTCTCACCACCGCCAATACAAGTTTCCCGCTTTGCTTCCACTACCGTATCCGCTCCGCAAGATTTTGTCTAGGGCTACGCAGTATTTGTAATACGACTTGGCCGTGCTTGGGCACTCAGCAATTAGGGCGTCTAGTGATGACGTAACGACGACAAGACTACCCTTGGCGGAAGTAAATGCATTGGCAGATTGCCATGTTAAAAACAGTTTAAAAAGTATTTTTTTTTTTTTTTTTAAAAATGATTTTAGATTTCTCGTTACGGTTAATTTAAAAAAAAAACAGCCACCCAAATATATAGTGGTAAAAATTTAATGTGCCTCTGAAGGCGACATTCAGCAAGTATAGATACATCAGGAAGTCTCCGTATTGTGCCGCTAATATCAACCCCACTTTATTTTATATTTTGAAATTAGAAGGGTTGGGGAAATGGGGAAGAAAGGGTTTTATTTATCTAAACGTAGACACTGTTAAATTATAATTATGTCCTAACAGACAGCTGAAGATACCTCCCGCCTCTATTTTCTCCACAACAACCCTGTGAGGTGGGTTGGGCTGAGAGAAAGTATGGCCCAAAGTCACCCAGGCAACTTTAAGCTAAGGCTGGACTTGAACTGATAATCCTCTGCTTTTTAGCTGGTGCTTTAACCACTTGACTAATTGGCTCTCCCAATGCCACTTTTATTTTCAGGAATGCTTTTAGATCCTAATAAAAATACTAAGCAATTATAGTTCTATTAAGCCCCTCGTTTTGAACTGTAAAGCAAGATAGTGAGAGATTCATGTATATGGAAAATAGTAATTGTGGAAGCCCTTGTCCCCCCAAAAATGAAATATTAATATTGGGAAATATTAAAAAGGCAGGATAGAATATTTCCCCCAGGAGAAATGGAAAAAAACCTTAAGGGAGGCAGAAGCCAGCCCGTTTTCCTGTCACCAAGCAGAAACCGAGGAGGCCAGGGTATAGAAATGCAGATTGATAATCCATTCAGAAAGACTGGGTCAGGCAGAAACTTCAGATAAGCAACACAATCAAGCCAAAGGTTGACAAAATTAGGTCAGACAAACACCTAGGATTTGCATTTCCCCTTTTGCCTATAGAGCTAGCCATTACCCCATAGGAATTCAGAAGGTATAAAACCCACCCTCTCTAAACTCCATTTTGTCAGCTGTCCCAGAATCACATGACCTTGGTGGTTCTGCTTCATCAATGAATTGAACCTTTCTTTCCAATCTGCCTCCATTTTATTTCCAGTGCCTTTCTCCTGGCTTGGAACTGGACCTGGTTATTTCTTCCAACAGTGCTTTATGATTTGCAGGGAGGGGACTCATATTCACCATTTTTTATTTAGTGTTTTGTCAGGAATATTGTTTCTGGTTGCTGCTTTAACTCTTTTTGATTATCAATCTGTATTCTGTAAAACTGATAACAGTATATGCTGTGATTTTTGAAATCAAATATTAAAATAATTTGGCATAGGTTATCTTTGAATTTATGGTTTGTCCATTGGAGTAGGAAACTTCAAAATAGTCAAGTAATACCCCCCCCCCCAATCTTTATTCTGTCTTTAGTTGTTTTGCCTTCTAGAAAAATGTTTTGTGATTGGCCATATCCTTCAGGTACCTACTTTGGTGCAGGAATCTAATATTGTCTGAATTCACTCATCATGCTAAACCATAATGTAATCTGCTTTGTTTTGGTTTAGTGAACCTAACGATTAATAAAATCCACGTTTGTAGTATATGTGAGATTGTTTTACTTTCGTAAAGTATGGCATGTGGGTACTTTATGAAAGTAAAATGTAAAATTGTTTTACTTTCCAAGTATGGAAGGTGGCTCCCCAAGATTAAGGATTACATGCAGGGTGAAAAGAGGTTCCTACATTATAACCTTGCCAAAATAATCTCCATAGTGCATACTGCATGTGATCCAAAATCCACAAATCAGTGGTATAGATGTTGGAATCTGTTTATTTCACAAACTGGTTATCGGCACCCTTAGAAAAATCTCTCCCCAAAACTTCAACCATTAACATATTTGTCAAGTCTTGTACTATTTAACAGTTTTCTATGTGTATGGGATAGAGTTAAGAAAAGGACTATAATTTTCTATTGCTGCAACAGAATTTGAAGCAATAGTACATGATGTTATCTTTTTTTTATTTCACTTTACTGCCTGACTCCAGGGTGACTTCTAGATAGCTCATAGTACAACAAACAAAACAAACAATAAAATTAGAGCCAGACTAGAAAAGAAAAAAAGAATAAGATGGTAAATCCATTAGACCATAGCACCAACATCTGGTGGAATGGGGAAACTTCAGACACCTTTGGTTAAGGCCAGAAGAAATAGCCAGATTTTTAAAGCTCTCTAAAATACCATTGGGGTATTATGTAATGGATAGTGATTGCTTGGACCATTGATAGGACAAACATAAATAAATAAAAACAACACATTTTAGGAACAAATATTTAATAAAATGACCACAAAAGCCTCACTGAGGTATTTGCTTCACTTTCAAAATTCTGATACATAACAAAATTATTCAATATACAAGATTTTTTAATAGATGCCCAGTTCACAAAAACAAGAAAACTTTTCGCACATAATGTTCATAAACAATGAACATTACAATGCATGAACATTCACAAAGAAACAGATCTATCACTGTCTTCCTAAACAAATAACTTGGAGAAATGTAAACCTATGGAAAACTTGCATTAGTTTATATTCATTTTACGAAACTCTCCCTGTTTCATAATGGAAATAAAGGAATCTTATTTGTTAATGAGCTGGATTAAGTTCCTTTTTGCATTTTCATTGCTTGAAAATTACATCTATTAATATATTTTTTTAAATTTTTGGACAATCTCTTAATTGGAAAAAAATGCACCTCAATTTGTTTAAGAATTTGTTTTTAAATCCAACTTAAACAAATTAAATCCAATTTAAAAGTTGTTAGAAAATTAAATTTGTATTCCTCTTTGCAAGCATACAGAGCTGTTTAAAGTACTAAGTTCAGATTTTCATGACAAAAAGCCAATACTAAGAAGATACAGAAAGATATACCTTGTTCAATACAGAACATTTCAATCTAGAAGAAATCAGTCTCTCTGTCTCTCTTTCTCTCCCTCTTAACTGCAAAAATATGTTAAGAAAAATTAGGCAAAGCAATGTATGTTTATATCCCAAAAAGTTTTATAAGTGCTATCATTCAACTTCCTCATATGCAAGTTTATAAATGAGTACTTTTAAAGTACATATATAGTTTTGAAACCTTACTGCAATCTTAGTGACATGTAAGAAATGATTATGAATTTTTATAAGTAGCTTGAAGAAAGGAAATCAGATCAAAACTATGCAGATTTTAAGTAGCATAGATTTCAGTTCATAAACAAAAGACAAAAATAAAATGGATTGCAGTTCGGAACAAAACTTTAAAAACAGAATTTTCAAAAAACATTTATGAAACTGTAGTATTGCTATCTACATTCATTTGCAAATAAAAAAAGTTACCATATTATCTTGTTTATACCTGTAATATTTCAGAAAGTAGATGCACTTACCAAAATCATCAGCTCCTAGATGTATGTTTGAAAGAATATAATGGAACTGCATTCCAGAGAATAAAGCTTTGTACAGATAGAATTAAGAATGTTCAGGAAATTATTTGCCTCTTCCTTAACACCACTTTGGTTATGTCATACAAGCATTTAAAGAGATAGAATGTTCATGTACAATAACAATACTTTGTTATTGCAATAAGTTAAGTACAAAGAGAAGATCAATAGTATTGGTAATAGTATTAACTTAAACTATTTCAATTATTGGAAACAAAATTACAGAACTTGAATTCTGTGATGAGATGGCATCCTGATCACTAGTTTGAGCAACATATAGCTTAATACTTTGTTTTGGGAGTTTTCTACTTGAAGAATGTCAGTGCTTTTAATGAAAAATGAAGTTTAATAAAGAGGTTATTCTTAAAATAATTTGCAATGCATATTAAACAGTTGTTTTTTGAAAATTATGGGCATCTTCAGAAATTATGGGCATCTTCAGAAATTTTCATTTCTCTTCACTCCTCATTTGGAGAATTTGAAATAGTTCCAATGCATAGAAGGGACACTAAAGAACAGTACTCAAATGAGGAAACTCAAATTATAAAAAAAAGTTAAACTAATAATGAAAATCACATTCCAAATTTTCCCCATATTATGGACTGGCAAAACACAGCTAAAAGGTAGAATAAAACAAATAGCAATTTCTTTCAGGAATTTTTTTATAATTCTAAAGTTTTTAAGTTTCTAATGTCTCCTCATTTGCTCCACAAGTATCAACTACACAAATTAAACAGCTGGTCACTGGAAAAGCACGAACTTTAGAGTTTGGTGTCCATTTGTCAATTTCAGTGTTATATTCAAGGATGTGTCCCAACCGACCCACACCCTGAAATCCAGCCAGAACATAAATTGTGGAACCCACAGCAGCACATTTTACAGTAACACCTTTCCATGACATAGGGGAAACCATCTTCCATTCATTCAGTTTAATGTCATAGTATTCCACACTGTCTAAGCCACCTTTATAGGGAAGAAAGAAAATAATTATTAAGCCAATATAACTGTCATTATCATTTTAGGATAAAATGACAAGAAATTAAAAATATTTTACCAATATAATAAATAAGTTAATTGAATGGTTTAAAGAAACCACTCAAGTCTACTACAGAAATAGATAAAAATATATAGGTCCTAGAGATGAAAAGTAACTATATAAAAGTAACCTATATAAAATCAAACTATATAAAATTGATGGAATAATTGTGAAATAATAATTTAATATCCTGAATATATCTTCAGAGTTTAATGGAACTTACTTCTAGGACATGATATAGCCTTAAAATCTTAAATGTTTAAAATTGTAAAGGAACCTCATTTAAAAATTCTATTTAACATTAAGAAAAAGGAATATTGATAGATTTATGCCTGAGCTATGCTTCATTATGAATACAAAACTTCCATAAGTAGTGAGGATAAGTAATGAGGATGTAATAAAATGGAATCATAAAGCCACAGAATTATTGGAATTGTACTATCTATCTC